ATAACAATACTGGTTTAATATAATTATAGATACAATATAATTATTTTTAAAATTATTATTTAACAATTTATATAATTTTCTTTTTAATGATATATTTTTAATATTTTTATTAAATTATTAATTGGTAAAAATAAGCTTAATTTTAAAATTATTATTTTGCAATTTATATATCTTTATATCTAATAATATATATTTCAATAAACATTTTTGTTAAATTATTAGTTCGTAAGTATAAGTATAATTATATTATTATTTATCATTTTTTTATTAATTTATATTTTGTTAAATATTTTGTTAAATTATTAGTTCGTAAGTATAAGTATAATTATAAATATTTTTTAAATTATTATTTGATAGTTTATAATATATATTTAATAAATAATTTTGCTAAATTATTAGATGGTAAGTATAAACTTAATTATTATTATTTAAAATTTTATTTAATACCTTAAACTATTTATTTTTATTTTTAATAGCTAGCTGAAAACCTGTATAATAATATACAGAAATAAATATATCTAGCTATAAAATTATTTTTTATTAAATTATATACATTTAAATTATTATTAATATATATATATAATTTATAGTATAAGTTCTAAATATTTATACTAATTTGTATACAAAATAAGAAAATTATATATTTTATTATATTATATATAATTAGATAAATTAATTAAAATTAATATTTAAATCTAATTATAAGATTAAAAATACAATTTATTAATAAAAATATTGATTATTAAAACTAAATAATATATATAATTAATATGAATTATATAAATCTGATAAATTTATTGTTAAATTAAAACTTTAATTAAACATTATACAAATAAAAGTATATATCATGTATAGAGTTCTTAGAAATAATAATAATAATAATACCATATACTTCCGAAATTAAGCACCCCCTTGGAGCAATTTTTATGGCCAAAATTCTCATGACCTAATAATCAAATCTGCATAATTTTGGTACCATTCAAATCATTTTGGCAAGCTGATTCGAATGGTACCAAAATTACATAGATTCGATTATTAGATCACAAGAATTTTGGCTATAAAAATTGCTCTGAGGTGCTTAATTTCGGAAGCATATGGTATTATTATTATTTATTATAAATTTATAATCTTTAACTTTCTAAAATATTCTATATAATATAGTCAAAAAAACGTTGAGCAATAATACAGTATATAGAACAAAGTAGCATTATTTTAAAATCTTATATTTCAAATACAATTCTTTATATTCTTCTAATTATATATTTGTATACTGTTACTATTGTATAACATCCAACTGAGCTCCAATATGTAGTTAGGGCACTGAAATTTATTTTTAATATTTTAGGGGTGGGGTTAAGCGCGCACTATATCAATATCTTACATTACACAAAGAAATTAGATTCTTTTTTAATTGGCCAATAATATTGGATCTTGTGTGGGGTTAGAGAGGAAGCCCTTATAGTAAATAGATATTATGTAATAAATGTCAGCACCCTTACTCAGAATTAGATTTATTATTCATTATTAATCATTACAATAATAAATAATTGAATTATTTAAGTGGATTAAATCAAATTTGTGCAGTTAATTTAGTAATTGATATAACTATGATACAATAATAAGATTAATTAAGTAGAGTTAATAATAAGAAATCATTGTGGTTATAAAGTTAATTCAAAATACTGATAAATCAATTATTTTATACATTTTATTAAGACATTGAAATCTAAACTTTTATTAAATTACAAAATCTCTACAATTTGATATCTAAAAATCTGGTTTATTATTAAAACTAAATTTTCATGTCAGCTATTTCATATTTACTAAAAAAACTCAAGTTTCAAAGCAACTACAGTTTTTGCCAATTCAGACATGATTTACAATATATGATAAATTAAATATGTATAGTACTATATATATGATAATTAAAATAAAATTAATTTATTAAAAAGGCACATTTATAGCTTTGAGGCCAAATTTTCAATTTTTTTCTTTGATTTTTTATGAATTAGCTTAAAATATGTATATTAAGAGGAGAATTGAAAAGCTTTTATATAAGAGGCTATCAATAGAATTAACAGATGGATTATAATATAATAATTCATAATTTTCTAACCCTAACCCTAACCCTAAATTTTACTAGAAGCAATTACATAGGTGCGTTTTATAATAATTCATAATAAAATATCATACATTGCCTTGATTATGATTATTTGTATGGTATTGAATATATTAAATACTATTTGTATTAAATATATTATGTATAAATTACTTTATATAGAAAGTCATTCATATCATGCTATATACCTATTATATAATCGCGAAATAACGCGCAGGAGTGTAAATTCAAAAATTTGTCCAAATCAATTTTAATTTGGACCATTATTTTTAAATAGCTTTATTCACAACTATATACAGCAATCTTTATTATTCAGCCCTAAACATGTGCCTATCACTGTCATCATGTAAGAACACGTTCATATATTTCATAATTGACTGGACATCAATAATGCACAGCATTGCCATAAAGTGCTAATGAATATATCTGAATATTTACAAAAACTAGCGCTAGCATATTTTTACAATGCCTTCCATCTCTAAAGTTTTATGTCACCAGGAGATTCACTAAAGCATAGGGTGTTGCATTTTTAGGATATAATACTTATAAGTATAAATCATATTTAGGCAACAAAATTGCGGTAGGTATTCGCATCAAATTTAGCTTAAACCTTCGCTACTACAATCACAATAATTTAGAGCTCTAGATTATTTAACAAGTTCTGCTTATAGAGATTATTGTAAGACCAACCACGGATTATTACTATACAATTACAATCGATAATCAGCATACAATAGTTACGTCCTTTGTTACACGTTCCTATATATTGTTATTCCATTGTGTATTACACTGTGTCTATTGGTAAATAAAAAATTCAACTATTTGACTTTCTCATAATCGAAATTTTGTGCAACATAAAATGTCATCTGAGTATTGTTATTACCGGTTAAAATATTTTACAGAAATATAGATTCTGACAGACATTAAAATTTTAATGGTATAATATACTAGTCTCAGGGCATGTTATTACGTCTGTACTTCAGTATTATAAAAATAAGCTAAAAGTACTTGTACGTATAACTACTGTAGCACAGATTATGCCAATATGCCAAGAAATGTTGCTAAAAATAAGAATCAAAACATAAACGTAATTTTTGAAATAAAAATGCCATCTGAGTACTTTTATGTTACTTTCTAAAATATATATTGCCAATCAGATTCATTTTATTCCACACAGACATTAAAATTTTAATATAATATATAATTGATAGATTTTTTTTATATGCTAAGAAATTATAATCTAATTAAGCCCTTGAGGTAAGTTAAATGTTACATAGTCACACTCAATGTTGTCACTGGCCATTGAATACGGCTAAAGGTGGCCAAATGGGCCAGATTAAAATAAATTATTTAACAAGACTGCCAAGCATTTATATATTGTAGTAAGACCAATAATCTGATTAATTATTAAAAACTCCTGGACAAAAAAAATCGCCGTTGTCTATTGATCAGTAAAGAAAAATGTGTTTGATGTCACGAAAATTTTGAGTTTAATTTTCTTTGTATATCGTATTAATATGGTGTGGCTGTGCATGGTTTATAATCATGGATCTTGGTTCGAGACCACAGATCATGATTCCCAACCATGGCTATTTTGCAATGTATAATTATGACAACTAAACTGATAAAGAGAAATAAAAATTTCAGAAGAATTCCGCTTGAGTCATAAATGAAATAATAAATAACGTCTATACTAACTAAATACACTACATAATAACCCACTGTCATTAAATCCGAATCCTTTATAACCATTCCATCTCGCATAACCTATGCTTGTAACCCTGAGCTAATTTGACCTCAAATTAGCCAAGTCTCTCCCACGGTTACAACATTGGCCACAAAAATTGCCAACACTTGTTACACTAAATAAATCGAATTTATTTATTTGCCAAGACTTTATAATGACACGAATAGTGATTTTATACTAAAGATGAATTGAAAGTTAGTCGCGTCTTGAATTGTGATCCTGGCCGATAACAAAAAATCAGGTAAGCTAATTTTTTGGTTGTTTTTTAAAAAAAAACAAACAAATAAAATGAAAATAATAAAAATAAAAATAAAAATAAAAAAAATAAAAATAAAAATAAAAATAAAGATAAAAATAAAAATAAAAATAAAGATAAAAATAAAAATAAAAATAAATCAAAAAATAAAAAACAAAAACAAAAATAAACAAAAATTTCAAATTTTCTGAAATTGACTTACGTGACCTGGATATGAACATGAGTTATCAATTTACAATAATCAGACCCGCCGAGTGGAATTTCAGAACTCCAGGTTACGCAAAACGAAAATTAACTTTTTGTGGCTTTAATTTAATAAATCATGTTTATGTTAAGCGAAATAAATATTATCAAATCTGATACAGTGTTGCCTAATTATCAACCATTTCCAAGTGGTGAATGGTCATATGAAAATTAATTCTTGCAAAATAAATCCACATGCGGTATTATTACTTGCTACAATCTACAATATAGGCAATTGTTCTTTTCAAAATTTTTCACATAGGAGTGAATTGAATTCTGTAAAGTAGGGGCGAAATAATGGTTTTCTTCGTATCACCAATAAACATACTGATTGTTCTTCTTTACAATCAAATGATAAAATAATTAGTACTAATTTAGGCAACACTGAGAGGGGATAATATTTATTTCGCTTGAGTTGAATTCCGTAAAGTAGACGCGTAATAATGCTTTTTCGTGTCACTAATAAACACACACTTTTTACAATCAACTATAATTAGATAATACAATTTTGGTAATTTATTTGTAGTTAAAAATAGGGTTGATACGGAGCTTGTTTAGTGATTTAGTAGATATGCATCTTATCGGATTGATTTTAAAATTTTGTCATTATAAAAGAGGAGGCAAAATCCGATGGAATGGATAAAAAAAATCAAAATGAAAAATCTCAGTCTTATACTTCTGATCTTGACCCTTCTTATGGTCGGCGTTATGACAACTCCAGTTGAAGATAAAAGTTCTAATAATCTTAATGTCTTGTTTAAAAGAGGAGATGTTTGCTATTCCGGAAGTGAAAAAGCACCCTGTTATCCGAATTGCGGGTGCCCCCATGATACTGAATGTAAATGTGTGAAATACTCGTGCGTGCGAAAAATGAATTGAGTATAATAATGAAAAATATCGGTATATATCATGATTTTTTTTATATATCAACTTTGTATTCTTCTTTTTCATTAACAACTCTTTTTCATAATTTTATAAATCAGATTCTTTGTAATCAAAATGTGAATTACACCCCGATATATATCATCCTTAATGTTTTATTTATTTATATTTTTTTATCTTGTTTATTACTATAACGTTATTTATAACGTTGATATTTCTGATATTTTTATTATATATTTTAATGTTTACTTGTACGCAGTTATTGAATTTTCATCAAATTCAAATTGTAAAAAATTGGTTTTTTTTTCAAGCAAAACTTTTTTTTTTTTTTAGCAAGCTTTGGAAGTGTCGTTGTAACTGTATTCACAAGGGAGCATTGATTAACTTAATGCAGTAATAAATTGCCTTACTGTGTGCCCAATTTAAAAGAACCAATTATTGACTAATTATAAAGTACACTAACATTTAAGTTAAAAATTGCCATTAAAGTCGAAACCGGTTCTTGCACATGTTAAAACTGGTTAAACTGATTTTAACTGTTAATAAAACCAGTTCAACCATTGTGTTAATATGCTGTACAACAGAATTACGTAATTTAAAACTACGTAAAAATGGAACTTGATATTTAAGAGTACTGTACCTAATTATCTTGCAGTCTTTCGAACTAAATTTTTTACATTGTTTTGTGTAATAAAGGCCTGTATCAAACCATTTCCAAAAGATTCCTTTGTTAAATTTTTTATATTTATTTAAAAATGACAATAAAATTCTTTGAAAAACTTTCAAACAATTATCTTGAACTACTTGATGACAAAGAAGATTTTAATACGGTCATTAATGTCGGCAAATCTCCAAGTAACAAGATGTTTCAAGCACATTCAGCGATTTTAAGATACAGATCTTCATATTTTCGTAATGAATTGGTAAATGTCAGTAAAGATAAAAATAATATTAAAACACTTGATTTAAAAAATGTTTCTATTCAACAATTTGAAATTATTATTAAGTAAGCTATTTACACTACAATTACTATTTATCTTTATAAAACGTGTTATACTATGAGTTTTACACCTATATTTGCATGCAAAAAGTATACACTTTACGCTATAAAAAAAAAAAAAAAAAAACCTTAAATTCAAACTTAAAATCGAACCCGTAACATGAGAAATTTTAAGAATTCAGGTATAAAGATATTAAAACATTGCAAACAAAAATCATAGGTGTGAGCATCATAGATATGTTTTATAATAGGTGATTTATATTATGTTATAAGAACGAATCTAAAATTTACTTAAAATTTATATAAAGGTATATTTATGGAGGAGTGGTCTTACTTGAAAACCATGATGCAACGTTTATTTTTGAGCTAATGCTTATTGCTTACAAATTTCTTCTTGATGAATTGGCAAAACACCTTGAAACCTATTTGATTGAAACGAATGCTCATTGGCTTCGTCTAAATTTTACTCTTATTTATCAAAAAATTTTCCAAAATAATAAGCTTCAAGAATTACAAAAGTGGTGCAATGATATAGTAGCAAAATATCCTGGTAAGATTTTTGATTCTGAAGACTTCTTCTCGCTTCAAGAAAATGCTTGACCTCACTTATTAGTCGAGATGATTTACAAATGGAAGAAATAAAAATTTGGAACCGTGTTATTGAATGGGGAATTGCTCAAAATCCTGATCTACCATCTAATCCTAAAAATTGGTCCCATGAAAATTATCTAACTTTAAAGACTACTTTACGAAATTGTTTGCCCCAAATTCGTTATTTTCAGATGTCTGGTGAAGAAATTATAGATAATATACAACCATACCAACAAATTCTAGATAAAGATCTTTGGGATGATATAACAAGAAAGTTTATCTTGCCAAATATCCCGCCTCGTACAATTTTAACACCAACATTACCTATTAGAATTACTGAACCATTTTCAACAGTTATTAGAGAAGCAAATGCGGCAGAAATTGCTTCATGGGTTGATAAAAAAGAAGAAATATATTCAATACCAAACAATCCATATGAGTTTAAATTACTCCTTCGTGGAAGTAGAGATGGTTTTACTGCTGATTCATTTTGGAAATTATGTGATAAGCAAACACATCTGGTTATAGTTATGAAAGTTAAAGATACTGATGAAATTCTTGGTGGTTATAATCCTGTCGGTTGGAATAAATCGTTTTATGGTTATAAAAATTGTAATGATAGCTTTATTTTTTCATTGAAAAATGGTACCATTCAAAATTCTATTTTAAGTCGTGTAAAAAAACCAGCATGTGCAATCCATCATCATTCTTCTCAAGGACCGCGCTTTGGTGATGGATGTGATTTAGCTATGAGCAATAATTTTGGTCAAAATAGAAAATGTTGGAATCGCCAGAAGTCATATGATAAACGAATTAGAAATGAATCTACATATGAAAGTTGTGGTGGATCACATTTTTCGGTGGAAGAATATGAAATTTTCCATATTAGTAAAAAGCTCTAAGTTTATGCTAATTAACTCACTAGGCATAGTAAATGCTTCTATTACTATTGTGTTTTGTACACAAATCGAAATACATATACTGTAAAACTTCAGATGACTCAATATTCGGATGTCTATGTATGATAATAAATGTCTTATTGTGTGCCCAACTCAAAAAAAAAAAAAAGCACCAATAATTGACTGATTATATATTAATGTTAAACTTTATCATTAATTAGAACTAGAGGTCAACCCAATTTTATTTTGAATATGTTAAACGATTTTAACTATTAATAAAACCGGCCCGGCCTTTTGTACAACAATATTAGAACTTCATTATTTTTTACAAAGATCAAATTTCTTGCAATATTTCGAACCAAATTTTTTATATTATTTATGTAATATTAATTTATATTATTTACGTACAAATCGTTAAAATTTTTACAATTGATTAAAAAATGGCAATAAAAAGCTTTCACATAATTATCTTGAACTTCATGATGATAAATAAGATTTTAATATAATCATTAATGTTGGAGAATTTCCAATACCAAGATATTCCAAGCACATTCAGCAATTTTAAGATACAGATATGAATTGGCAAATCTCAGTAAAGAACAAAATAATATCAAAACACTTTATTTGAAGAATATTTCAATCCAACAATTTGAGATTATAATTAAGTAAGTCATTTTACTGTATACATTACGATTTATAATTTCTATCACATCACAAGAATTCTAAATATAATTGTAAAGATATATTTATGGAGGAAACGTTTTACTTGAAAACCATAATGTATCATTTATTTTGAGCTTATGATAATTGCTTATAAATTTCTTTTCGAACAATAGAAGCTCATTGACTTCGTTTACATTTACTCTTATTTATCAAAAAAATTTACAGTATAATAAGAATTGTAATGATATTATGGCAAGGTACATGATGATGAAGTTTTTGAATTGGCAGATTTTGTCTCGCTTCAAGAAAATACCTTAGTCTCACTTATTAGCCGAGATAATACAAATGGATGAGGTAAAATTTGGAATTATGTTAAATTGCTCATAATCCTGACCTACCGACAAATCCTAAAGATTGATCAAATGAAAATTTTCTAGATTTAAATACCTTTTTACAAATTTGCTTGCCTCATATCCTCTAATTTCAAATGTCAGGTGATACTATTCTTAATTGGGCTGGAACGGATAGAAGTGGAGTGTATGGTAGGGACTCCCGCCCCTGTAATTAGATAATTCTTGAACTATCATATCCCTGTAAAAATTTAATTATTCAGAAATTCGAACATTAAAATAAAATATACTATTAACATAATAATAAAAAAACGCCAATTAACATAATAAATATAATAAATATAACAGCGTAATAAATATAATAAATATAATAAGGTAATAATAATGTAATAAATATAATGAATAAAAGACGATTAAAAAAGCTAACGCTAATTAAAAATTAATTGTATCGATGCAAAAACATAAAAGAATTTATACACCTGAACAAAGGGCTGCAAAAAATGACGCTAGAAGAAGGAGACTGGCTTTTATGACACCTGAAGAACAGTTAAGCTGCCGAAGTAATGAATCAACAAAAAGGCAAGATTGACGAAAACGTTATATTCTCAAATTTTAATATGTCAGCTTTCTGCTAATGATCATAGTCTTCTAAAGAAATTTCGCAACGCAGTTTCTGCACTCGAATTTAATTTCTGCCCTATTGTAAAGAGAGTTTTCCTATGATTGTGTTAGTACATAAGACGGGATTATGTGGTAGATGTAATCAAGAGAAATTCATACCAAAAAGTTTTCAAATGAAAAATATATGGTCCCTGGTATGTAAATTAATAAACTGAAGTCGATGTATATTTAAATGTACGTTGTGAGCGGTCCCGGGCGCCCCACTTCATAATTTATTATTATTATTATTATTATTATTATAATTATTATTTTTTTTATTTTTTTTATTTTTTTCTATGATTTTTTTATTTATTTTTGCATTAGCGAAATGTTAGTTTACTATTATTACTATACGACCTTACAAGAAAAAGCAAGGTTCAAATTTATATCCATCTAAGCCGATACTAGTTTGCAGCCATTTTTGGAACCTGTACAATTAGAAAAATTAAAGTAAGATAGTAAAAATTAGCCGCTATGTACGCAATAATGGCCGAAAGCTATTTAAGGCCTACCTTTTGCTGAAAATAAAGAATAACTCAGTCGAAAAACCTTCGAAATTCGAGTAGAAGTGTTTATTCTAAACCGTTTACCCTTTGTCCCTTACTTAGTCCGTGTCTAATAAAAATTACCCATTACGCTCATACTGTCCCGATATTAGTATGAAGTCATTGCCGCTCATAAGTAGAATAGAGAAAATCGAAGAACCTTACTTGTTATCTTACTCTTATTAAATACTGATAACCTCAGTGATCCATTGTAATCACGTTAAAGTAGATAGAAGACTTAACGAATCCCGGTACTACCC